TTCCGGTAGCCACCGCCTTGCCGCGCACCTTACCCTTGCCCTTGGCAGGCGCGGAAGATCCGACACCACTCTCTCCAGCCATCAAGAAAACAAAAAGACTCGAAGAGGGAAAGATTGGAGAAGAAAGAGAGAACAGGGAAATCGAAGTACCTAGTACCCCCTTTGACAAATGAAAGAGCAATAAGGAAGAAGGAGAACTCAGTTGCCAGAAACGACGATGAAAACAGAGGAGACGAAGATGGAAGACGAACAGAAACAAAGAGAGCAGCGTACGCAAGAAGCCAAGCAGTGAAAAAGAGTAAAGTGAAAAAGGAGAGGAGGCGGAGGAAGAGAAAAGGGCTCCTTGAAATTCAAACGGCCACGACACGTGTCAGAGAGAGAGCGCACCTAGCAACATATTTAATGAGCCCCATTATGGCAAGCACGACCATCATTACATAACCGTCACTCCTCATTAACACGCCGCCTACACGTTTTCGAGAACGAAGCGACAGTTATGACACATGGCGCCTTCACAGGCAAGCATACGCGAAGGGTCACTGCTCCTCAACGAGCTCGGTCTTAACTCCTCGACCCACGGTCTTCAGAGCTCGGGGGGCTAGTGTACTATCCGTACTGCCATGCCGAGCTCGAACTCGGCATCGCAGCGCAAAAGTGACCTCGGACACGCACTGAGCGACGTCAGCTCGGTATTCAAATAGGTTATAACTGATCTCGGGCCCAAGGCCCAATGAAACCCTAATTCACACTAAGGTACGTGCATTACTTATATGAGACTCATACTCCCACAAACTCTAACTTTGGCATCGGAGTCTCTTTTGCAGGTACCACCCCCATCTTGGAGCATCAAACGTACCAGTGAAGGAGGCTCACCAATCTTACCCAGCGGACCACCTCTACATCGGATCCTCGATAAGAACAATTCATATAAAAAAATTTATCATATTTCAACATTTAATAACTTAGTACATCATATATTACCATATGTTATAAGATAATTAACATATATCATTTTCAACATGTAATCACTAACTAATATACAACAACAACTTCCATATAACACCACACAATTGAAGTTTCACTAATCCAATCAAAGACATATTTATCTCATATGAAAAGCTAAAAAGGTTATCTATATCTTTTATGAAGACTTCAAGTTCTAACTCCATCATCTATTATACTGAAATCATAAAAAACCACAACAGTTTGCCTAAATATTAACAATTTGACCTTTGCTTACTAAAATGATCGTAACTTGAGTTCTAAACTTTCTTTTTAGTTGTTTTCAAATTCGTTGTAAAAGATAACATCTAAGGATACAACTTTTATGACGACAACAAAGTCTAATTCAAAAAACACTGATCTGCGTAACCCTTTCTATTTCGCTTAACGAATCTTGAATTGGATAGTTTTTGCCTCAATTCCGCTTAGCCATTTAAAAACTGCTTAGTCCTTTCAAATGTGCCTGACCCTTTCAAATCCACTCAACGGATTTATTCCAGAGACACCCCTATTCTCATTCCCAATTCCAATTAGTTGTTTCAAAATCTCTCAGCAGATTCATGATAGAGACAATCTTTATTACTCATGATTTTGGGTTTTCCAAGCCTCTCTAATCCATCCCAAGCTCACCTACAAGCTATAAACTCAAATTCAAAACAGCAAAATCTTATCTGAACATGGTCAATACTTCATTTTTAACAACAAAACAACTTACAACAAGGATTTGAGTACGAAATCAATAAAATCAAGATTTTCCTCCCAAATACCTCAAAAATCCCCATGGCAACTCCAAATATCAATATAATCTACCACCGATGAAAAAAATTCAACAACACATTCAACATACAACAATGAAGGATCAAGAAAATCAAGTTTCTCTTACCTTTACTCCTAGCCCACAAATAGAGGAAGAGAAGTAATTCAGGTCACCATATGACTCCAACCAATATAAACTCTCGATCAACTGCCTTGAGCCTTCACTAATCCCTTTTAGATCAATTATGGAAATGGTGAAAATATATAGCAACAAGGAGGAGAGAAAATTTTCTCGAGAGAGCTTCTCACTACTTCTCTCAAGATTTTCTTGAAAATGTAACATGAGGTTCAATTTTTTTTTAAAAAAAAAAATCTTATATACCTTTTCTTAAACTAATCAAACTGAACATATAATAATATTAAATCAAACACTTTAGAAGATAATATTACAAAATACACTTATAAACTCCTCACCCATATATAGCATTCGAAACTTAGTTGAATCGCACCATATTTATTTCTAAGCTTTTAAAAGTTAAAAGATAAGCCAATTAGAGTCGAGTTTAGTGTAATGATATAATATTTCACAATATGATGAATCATGATTTAAATTTTTGTTTTGAAGGATACTTATGTACACTTCAAGATTGATCTCGGAGCCGATCTTACGGAACTCCCGTGTGTTTACATTTAATAATGGATGTTCAATTTATAATAAATCATTAATGGAGATTTTTTTTAATATTTTAATTAAATGAAATAAACCAAAAAAATCATAATCATCGAAAATTATGCATGCTATAATTAATGTATTGTTTTTTATCCATAAAAATTATAAAAACGACAATAAAATTTGAACCTAAAATTTTATGCATATTATTTGAACTCTTTATTATTAAGCCAATTCTAGTGGTTCATTAACTTATTTCTTTGAAATCTATTCGTAATAAATTTGGATTCAAGATGTCTACTTTTGGTCCTTTAAGTATAACAATTATGTAATTTTAATCTTTCAAGTATCACAATTATACAAAATTTTTACGTATTTAATTAAGTTACATATATTAATAATTTTAGTAATAATAAATATATTTCATTTAATACATGAATAGAATTTATAATATATATAATTTAAAAGTTTAAATATATTTTTGGTCCCTATAAAATTAGCAAGTTTTGATTTTAATCCCTATAAATTTTTTTCTATATTTTTCATCCCTATAATATCTTTATATAATAAGAATAATTATAGAATTCTCTTCAAAAAAAAAAGAGAGAATAATTATAGAATAAGAATATCAATTATTAAATGGAAGTAAATGTATAAAAAATAATTAATATTATTTAGAACATGTAAAATATATTAAAAAAATAGAATAAAAGAGAAAATTTAAAACGTAAAAAAATTATTGATTAAAATGAGTAATTGATTATAAATTGATCAAAGAAAAAATAATTACACCGGAGAGTTAAGAAAACTTATCTTTTTTAAGATTTATTTTCTTGTCTTTTTTCTTTTGGAGTGAATGTTGAAAACTTTGGGATAAATCAAATTCCTCGTCGCTATTTATGTTTTGTACTGTTTTTTTTTTTAATTAAGGGAAGTTAATTTACATCTTCCACGCATGTCTGGTTTTGGTTAAGGGAAGTTAATTTTAATTTCTAGTATTTTTTTTTAATTGGTATCTTTACCTTTCTATGAAATATTATGATTTCTACCACTGAAAATATAAATGTAAAATATCTCAACGCATGCCTCCATGGCATGCCATATTTTAACTAATTTTTTAGTAGCCTTATTTCACGCCCAGATCTAATCCAATAATAATGATTTTATTTGTTTAAAAACATGATTTCAATACGGATGTTATCTAATAATAATGAATTTATTTCTTTAAAAAATACGATTTAAATAGATTTCAACAATATTGTTGGTTGTGACAATAGGAAAAGCCTAAGTCCAGTAAGAACAATTTTTTTACTTCTTTGAAATGTCTTGTGCTGATGGCAAAATTCTTGAAGGTATTCATGTTGAACCTGAAATGTCTTGTACTGATAAGAGCTCTGAAGACACTCATGACGTCTCTATAATGTCTTTTGTTGATAATGCCATTGAAGACACCCATGTTGTATCTGAGAAGGTCCTCAAATATTCCTATGTTGTCCTTGAAAAAAGAGTTAGTCTTTTTGTTCTTTTCAAAGAAAAAAAATTCTATTATTGTAAAATTAGTGTGTTTTAAGTTCTTAACTTTTGGTTAAAATTTGCTTTAGTCTCTATATTTCAAAAATGGTAGTTTTAGCTTTTGTATTTTATAAAATGTGATGAATTTCATTCCTCATAAGTTAAATGAAGAATAGGTTTTTAGAAGTGAAATTCATTACATTTCAAAAACATAAAGATCATACCATTGTTGTTAAATCAGTATGTAGAGATTTATTGTCTCATGTTTTATAATTTTATGAATTTTCCCATCTATTTTCTAGAATTTTCTCATCTATTTTCTAAAATTGTATATTTCGTTGCAAATTTTTAAAATTTTCACATTTTATCACTTGTTATTAAGCTTTTTTTGTGTTATTAGTTGATTATTGACATGATACTTTAATCATTAATAAGATATGTTGATCATTGATGTGAACTCTTAATGTGATATACAAATAATGATGTGATAGACTGAGTTATATCAACATTTAACGTGACATAACAACTAAAAATGTGTCAATGATTAAGTAGTGATGTTAGGTAATTAACTAACAGGTAATCAAATATACAAAATGTTTAATTTCAAAAATTGAGTAACAAAATATGAAAAATGAACAACAAAAAGTACAATTACTAATTTTTACATTTTTCAATAAGCTACACTGACATTTTTTTCCTTGATTTTTGGTGTGTTTTATTTGTTTGAATAGATTAATGAGGTGGAAAAGATGGCCAAGAATGAAAGGCAAATGGAAAGCCAATTCCATAGCAAAAGGAAGATTATGAACCCTGAGATGATTAGGAGAAGAAAGATTTTTGTTGGGGGCTTACCTTCTGGCATATCTGAGGAGAAATTTAAGGAGTATTTTGAGAGGTTTGGCACAATAACCGATGTGGCTGTGATGCGAGATAGTGTCACAAATCGACCAAGAGGATTTGGGTTCATCACATTTGGTTCTGAAAAGTCAGTTAATGATGTTATGGTGAATAGCTTCTATGACCTAAATGGTAAACAAGTGGAGGTGAAAAGGGTGATGCCAAAAGTGGAGAATCGTGATCGTGGTGTTTTTGATCAATTGAAATACAACAATGGAAATGGAACATCATGGGAAGGTTTTCCTTATTATGGTAATAATATGATTCCAAGTCCTGCTTATGGTTCTCATCCTTGGTACAATAACAATGCTTATGGTTCTCATCCTTGGTACAATAACAATGCTTATGGTTCTCATCCTTGGTACAATAATAATGGGTTATATGCTAATGCACCAAACCCTTATGATTGGTACCCTATGCTTGGTGCTTCTCTTCCTCGGTACATGCCCATGGCACCCATGGCTCAACCATGTCCTGACCCTTTTGGTTATTGTTTCCCAAGTTATCCATATGTTGGTGGGAATGTTGGGGTGAACAATAAGCCAACACAGAATAATCATAGAGAGTAAACGATTAGATAAAAGATAAAATTTAAAAATGTTGTTTAAATTTTTTTTTAATTGATGTTTTTCTATTGAAATTGAAATTTTACTTGATAAATTACATTTTCAAGTGATTTAATCGAAGTGAAACTTCAATTTTAATTGAATATTAGCTTTATGTCATGTAAAAAAAATATAATTATAATTACTGATGTTGATATATATTCAAATAATTTTATATGTATACATGTGTTGTAACATTTTATTTTATGTAAATGTTTGTTTTAAATTTATCTTTCCAACTTTATGTTAAATTGCAACAGAGTTAAATTATTGCGATTAATTTAGTATCGGAAAAGTTGGAGTTGGAGTAGTATATTCATGATGGTAAGTTTAAATCTTATTTTTTATTTATTGTAATTCATATAGATAAAAAAAAATTGTAATATATTTGATTGAAAATAACAATTTTTTTATTAAAAATTAGACAATTTATTTATCATTTTAGATTTAATTAGTTATTACTTTCTCTGGACTAGTACTTTTTATACTTTGAGTTTGATTTTAACTATAAATTATTTTTATCGATATGCATGCATTGAGTAGAGAGTTACATGGTCACCATTTTAATTTCATTTTTTGACGGGCAGAAAAGTGACACACAGCTCATACTACTGTATAATTATTGTTTTAGTAATTTTATTTAATACTATTGTTATTTATCAAAAAATATTATCTCTAATGCCAAATTAAATAACATTAAAACTTTGATAAGTATTAATTTGAAACTTAGGATGACTTATATACAAATCATTCGAATATATTTTGCGTGATAATTAAAAATTAATATTATATTTATGAATTTAACCATTTGAATTCATTGAAACGTATTTAACACATTTATTAAAATATATTCTTATTAAAAAATTATACTACCATTTAATAAAAGTATTATATATAAAACTAATATATATAATTGTTTAGTTTTATATATACCATGTTAAAAATTGTAAAAATCGCAATCATTTATCTGAATCTTTTTGGGTGATTCCAACATCATTGTAAAGCTAACATTCAAGGTTACAACTTTCTTGATAATCTTAAGACCAAATTCAGTCATCTGCCTCTAGCAATGCAGCACTCAATTTAGCGCTCTAGTGTTGAATTTCTATTAACTTCGTTTTCTTGCAAGACTGCAACGTTGGATATCTGCCAAATCAGTTCCTCCCAAGGCTACAATGCTCAAATCAGCGTTGCAACGTTGGATCTTTGTCCCCCTATTTTCCCTCATAGTTGTAGTGCTGGTTCAGCGCTCCAGTACCGAGTGTAGAGTTTTATGCACTTTCATGGTTTCTCACTTTCGTTTTCTCCTACACTTCACAAACTTTCCCCTTAAACATGATTTATACTCATTATCTTTACTTAATTAGTTCATGCAACCCAGAAAACCACAAGAAATGCAATATGCATTGAAAATTCAAAGGAAATCCTCAACATTAAACTTTCCGTCAAGACAACCAAAACCTCTCAACTTTCAACATGCAACCAACTTCATATCCACCCCAAAAGCTAAAATTTCCATAAATCCAACTAATTTTAAGTTTCAATTCAATCAATCCAACAAATCAAAAAAACCCAAAATTCTAGCTTCTCTTACCTCAATCCTAAACTTCCCGAAGAAGAAGAAGAAAAACTTTGGGCTGCTTTGAGGTAGAAGAAGAGACACAAGAGAAAGTGAGCTCTGAGCTCCATGTATTTGAGGTCTCCCTTAAGAACCTGAGAAAAGAAAGAGAAGGTTTGGTTCTGGAAGTTTCTCTCCACCCTTAAGTAAAGATCTCACAAAAAGAATAAAATTGATTCAACTATAAAAGATAAAAGATTAAAATGAACATTTTTAACAGATAAAGAACTAAAAGAATTATAAAAAAATAAAATAAATGATAAAAAATATAATGAAATTTTAGAATCACACAATTCGAATATATTTTACGTGATAATTAAAATTTAACATTATATTTACGAATTTAATCATTAGAATTCATTCAAATGTATTTAACTCATTTATTTAAATATATTCATATTAAAAAATTATACTACCATTCAATAAAAGTATTATATATAAAATTGCCACACATCGGTCTCACGTACCGACGAACAGGTCGGCACATGACATCAGCAACGCTCCTGCCCACGTCACGGGAAGTCAGGCGACCTTCCGCCGTCATCCTTTTGTGGACGGCATCATGGAAACACCTCTCCCTTTCGGGTGGAAGCCTCTCCACATCGTAACGGCACGACCGATTCGGACGAGCACATCGATCTGTATACCACACAGGTAAATCTTTACACTAATGAGGATGCTATCCTGTGTAGGGTTTTTTCGACCTCGCTCAAGGGGGCTGCACTTAACTGGTATACCCAGCTACCTACCGAGTCGATCGACAGCTTCAGCACCCTGGTCATACAGTTCACGGCACAGTATGCAACGAGCCGACCTCATCACATAACGTCAGCCGCCCATCACTTAGTGTGTTTAGTAAAATTATTTTATAAAACGATTCAAAGCTTATAAACTATAAATTAAAGATTGAGAGGTTAAAAGTTAATAAATTTTTTATTAAATTAAAAATGTTAAATAAAATTAACTAATTGATTAATGTAAAATAATATATTTATTTATTTAATAATGAAAGTAAGAAAATAATATGTAGGTAAAATAATTTTTAAATTAAAAAAAAGTGTTTTAATTAAATTAATGAGGATAAAAAAATTAAGAATTTATAAGCTATACATTACTTCAATTAATATGTGAAAATTTATAATATCAAACAAATTTATTTTAGCCAAATTAACTATAAATTGGTCAAATATGTAATAATATGATAGATCATTATACTTATTATAGTTTTATAACTATGCAGTAGAAAACAATACAACATATGACTAGCCTAAGGATACCATGTAATAGGGTTAAATCCCATGCTTATATGTAATGAGAAGCTCATAAAACATAGAAGGGACAACTGAAAATAATTTACTTATTCAAAAATAAACTTACTTACTGAAGGGTTTCAATCGGGCTCTTGGAGCATTGCAACGTATATCCACACAGTGAGATATTCAAATTTTAAAAACAACTTTACTCCCCTCTATTTTTTATGTATCATAGTTAAGGCATGTATCTAACCCATATATTTACAACTTAACAACTTAAATTATTTTAGCAGCGTGCAACTTATACAACTTTATCAACTTTCATCAATTCTCATGTATAAATAACTTTAAATATCATCATATATTATCATTCATGTACTATCTGTACCGTCATGCCGAGCTCGAACTCGGCATCGTAGTGCAAAAGTGACCTCGGACACACGCTGAGCGACGTCAGCTCGGTATTCAAATAGGTTATAACTGATCTCGGGCCCAAGGCCCAACGAAACCCTAATTCACACTAAGGTACGTGCATTACTTATACGAGACTCATACTCCCACAAACCCTAACTTTGGCATCGAAGTCTCTTTTGCAGGTACCACCCCCATCTTGGAGCATCAAACGTACCAGTGAAGGAGGCTCACCGATCTTACCCAGCGGACCACCTCTACATCGGATCCCCGGTAAGAACATTTGGCACCCACTGTGGGGCCGATCAAGACAGCTCTTATCGGCCACGCTTATGGTTTTCACCAGAAGCTATAGAAGACACGCAACAAAACGACTTAGATCACGCAACTAGCATGGACAACGAAGCAGTATTGAGAAGGCTGATCGAGCAGGTCGAGCAGATGCTGCAGCAACACACCGCTGATCTGCAAAGCATGCATGCCAAGCACGAAACTGACCTAGCAGCGATGCGTACCGCTAATGAGGTTGACCTAGCGGCGCTACGCGCTGAGAACGAGCGCATTCGCACTCAACTCCCTCGGCGTCCCTCTTATCAACCCCCTCAACAGAGTAACCTGCACGAGGAGGAAGGGCACTCGGTTTCTCAACCGCCAATAGAGACTAGGGCACCGACTTCGAGGCCTGCCACACATCGGTCTCACGTACCGACGAACAGGTCGGCACATGACATCAGCAACGCTCCTGCCCACGTCACGGGAAGTCAGGCGACCTTCCGCCGTCATCCTTTTGTGGACGGCATCATGGAAACACCTCTCCCTTTCGGGTGGAAGCCTCTCCACATCGTAACGGCACGACCGATTCGGACGAGCACATCGATCTGTATACCACACAGGTAAATCTTTACACTAATTATATATATAATTGTTTAGTATAATTATTTTATCATAATATTAGTTAATTAATATATTAGATATGATAATCAACCTATTATATTGTTTGACGTATTTGTATCAGTTAGAGCTGTCAAAACGGGTAACCCGACCCGGCCCGGCCCACCACAGATTGAGTCTTTGGTGGGCCAACCCGGCTCATTTATTGGTGAGCTGAAAAAAGTTGAGCCCGGCCCGGCCCACCACGGGTTGGTGGACTAAACGGGTTGGCTCACCTAATTTGAAAAAATGTAAATTATGTAACTCACAGCCAGTCCAACAGCCAGCCCAACAATTCCAAGGCTAAAAACAGCAACAATTGACCCCGCTTCTACCTTTGCAGTGTTCCAGATAGCTCCAAGGCCTAAAAAGTTAATCAAAATAATAATTGAATTGGGCATAAAATATTTTAAAAAATAAATGCAATAAAAATCCACCAATCTTGTCCAGTAGAATGCTTAGATGGTGGCCCAATAGCATAAGGCTTTTTTTTTTACTCCATAGGCCTTCTCATCAGTTGCAGGGTTTGGTGGCCCAATAGCATAAGTTTTTTATTTTATTTTATAGGTTGGTAGGTCAGTCCGGTTCACCACGGGTTTAACCCGAGTGAGCCGGATTTAAAATTGGCCAACACTGAAATTTTTAAATTTTTTTTAGCCTAACCCAGCTCGAACTCGTGGTGAGCCGAATTGGCTCACCGGTCTGAGCCCATTTTGACAGCTCTAGTATCAGTTATTAATATTTTTAAAACTTATATGTCACAATTGAGGTCACGACACAGTCGTATAAAGAAAATATGGCTAAAAATAAGAAGTCATCCATTACTAATGTTTATCAAATAAAAATATTAGAAAAACCTTTTGTGATTTTCGAGATCAGATTGAGCTTGAGTGTAGTTTACATGAAGAGAAAGTATTAAGACCATATAACATAACATCCGTTATCAAGATGATTAATTTTAGTTAATTATCTGTTGATTTTTTAGTAATCATCTTAAATTATCCTACATCAAAATTATACGAACATTTTATTTTATTTTTTAATTTGTGAATGAGGCAAAAATATGACATTTTATTTGAAATTAAAGTGAGAATAATAAGTATTAGAAAAGCTTCCATAGAAATATCAGTTTGCTTAAGAAATTTGCGCCAATACTGGCCAGAAAATTGTCTCATACAATGCAACGAATCATGATGTGTGGATGAGAAAGTAGAAAGTAGAAAGTAGAGACCCAAAGTGCATTGCTACAGAGTACAGAGGAAGGAGCATAATCCTAATGATCCTAGTTAGCCATATCCAAGCTCCTTTCGGAGGAGCCATGTTTTCGAAGTGTTCCCCACACAAATTCATCACTCTGACAAACCCTCTACCACCTGCACCCAAATTCATCACTACAAGACCCTTGCATCTCACCCTCGCCAAAGCAGAAACAAACCTCGACTCGGATTCCTCTTCTCCTCCTCAAACGGTTTTCGTGACTGGCGAGGATGTTCCATTGGAGGGTGTCATCCAGTTCGAGAAACCCACCTCTTCTCCTCCTTTTGAAAAATGGGGGTAATTGGTTTTTGACTTTTTTTTCCTATCAAGTTATCTTTTTTGTTTGTAAAGTAGAAAACTTGTTGCGAAATTTTAAGTGGGTCATCCATCATGCATGATGTGTTGTAGGCGTGTGGCTCTGCTAGCTGGTGCGGATGTGTTGGCCTTGTTCTTGTTTGCCACGATTGGAAGATACAGTCATGGACTTTCTGTTTTGGACCTCGACACTCTGCGCACTGCTGACCCTTTTATAGCGGGTGTGTTTGTTTTTTACTTTTTCCCATGATTGTCGAATGTGTGTTTTGGAGAGTTTGAGGTTTGAGAATTGGGTGTGTTTGAATGGTGTGCAGGGTGGTTTTTGGGTGCTTACTTCCTTGGAGGGTTTGGGGAGGATGGGCGTGGGATGAATGGTCTCTCCAAAGGTGTCATTGCTACTGCCAAGTCATGGGCTGTTGGGATCCCTGTAAGTTTAATGCTTGCTTCTTGGATTTTGTTACACAAAGATGCATAATATGTTGTGCATAATATACAATATAACAACAAATAAGTACTACCAACATACTCTCTTTAATTGGTTGAAATTTATTGGAAAACACAAAATTTGGTAGGTTCTACACCCTAAGAGAAGTGTGTTACAAAGTGTGTGTTAGCACTCTTTTATATATAACTTGTTCAAATCACACAATTTAATTAGAAAATAGAAAGGTTGTATAATGTGTGTACCCAGAGAGGAGCTTGAATCCATGTCCATAATATTGATCTTAATTCAATCCTAAAAAACCTTACGTATAAGATGAGTATTTAAGAAAGTGAATTGGATCTAACTCAATTCTACAAAATCAGCATGTAAAGAGATGATTGCTCTGCACTTATATATACTAATTTGATCATACCACTAGTCGAAGTGAACTCTAACACTTGACCTAACCTTGGAAGGAATCTTGAATCTGTAGTATAGCTGCAATCTTGATCTGCATCCATAGAGAAAAGAACAAGAGAAAACTACTCTATGCCCCTATTTGGATACAAGTTAAAAGTATTTTTGAGAATTTCTCTAATAAAAATAAAGACATTTTCAGTAGAGAAGCTATTAAAAACACTTTTAAACTTTTACCCAAACATATTCTGTGTAGTGACTAGGGTTTTGTACAAGTTATGTATACAAATTTGTCTAATGAAACAACAGTTTTATAATCATCACGAGAAAGCAAGGATCCTTCATTTGGGCATTGAAGTGAGAGTTCAACTCATCATGTCTCTAGAATGTGTGCAAGTTGGGGGAAGCTTGAATACATACACAACCTCAGTCTAACCTTGGGAGAAATCTTGAATCCATACTTGCAATCTTGGTCTTAATACTTTAGAAAAAATAATGAGGAAAAACTGCCTTGTGTGTGGTGACTAAGATTTTCCCATAAGGATTGCACACAAAAGTGTCTAGTGGATTAAGAGTTTTATAACTCATCAGATGATAGTAGAGAACTCCTCACGGCTCACTCGTACACCAAAGTGAGAATCCAAACAATCATAGATCAATATACATCATAAGTCCAAATAGAAAATATCGATCATAATAATTAAAATAACTTTATTAATTTTTCATAATCAATATTATTTAATAAACTAAAATTAATCTAATAATTAGATAATATTAATCCACAAAAAAATTAATACATCTTTCTGCAAGTTGTGGGATTTCATGAGCAGTGGGTGTATTGATCTTCTTAATTGGCACTTTTGCTTTAGCATCCGTTCTATTGCTGAAAATTTAATGTGTCTTGGAATACCATACGAATTGAAGAGCTTTCTTTTGAAATGATTTACAATGCTTGAAATGATTTGTAATGCAAGTGAGTTGAATTGAATCAGTAAAGTGAGTTGTAATATATCATTACTTTTGAATTTCAACTGGTAATTACAACTTGAACACAGTTGCTTTGCATTCATAGGAACATGAAGCAAGTAAATTATATTTTGGCAATCTTACACACAAAATACTACATTTTTCTTCTCTAAGATTGGCAAGAATAATTTCTTACAGATATATGATAATTGGATTGTTCCTTACTGGGAATGATAAGATATGTATTGTTTGTTGCACAGTTGTTTACTCTTTCCACTGAACTTCCACAAAACAGATCCCATTTAACTATTTTTGACTTCTTGGCAGATAGGAATAGTAATAAGGGCAGCAACAGCAGGTCATCTACCAAATTATGGTTTTGTATTTGTGAGTCTGGGAAGCACTGCTGTGTTACTTATCACATTCAGAGCATTATTATATACTATTCTTCCGGTCGACAATAGTAAGAAGAGCGATGTTTATCGCCGTGGCAGTCCCTTTGAACTCTTTGAGGTATATAGCCTTTTCTTCTTTATCAGATCTCAGGATATTATGTTTCAAATTTCATTTCAAAGTTTGGTATGAAAGACTAGGTTATTCATTCTAGGAAACTGTTTAAAGGTCTTCCATATAATTGCATTATATAAACCTGAACTTGTGTTGCACCTCTACTACATCTGATGTATCCATTGTGAATGCGCTCATTTGCTGTCAACTTAAAATCCAAAATAAATGCCATAATTGAGAAGAAAATACATATGTAACTTGAGATCTACAGAGCAAAGATTCCATCCTTGATTAGTTGGTGGAATCCTTGCTCATGCTTGCCAAAACTATTATTGAAGTTTTTAATTATGAAAATTGAGATTTACAGAGCCTATATACTGTTAATTTATACTTCAGCAGCAGAATTTCCTTAATATCTTAAACTAATTGTGCAAATAATTTAATTTTTACTCATAATAATCTTTTCTTTATCACTATATAATACTACCTCTGTCCTGTATACAAGAAACAAAGGAGGATCTTATTTTGGCCCTAATTATAAGAAATACGAGTCTACTTTTAGATTAAATGTATTAATTGGTAATTTTTTTTATATGCTTTATTTATTATGAGTTTGTTAACAAGTTTTCTATTCATTTTCCATGAAAATGAATACATTTATTAGACAACTAACCTATAAGTCATGCTTATTGGCTGAAAATATTATTCCTTGACTTTTGAGTAGTGTTATTAAATATAATTACCACCTATATTATTTAATCTATGGGTAGTTTTGGAATATTTCAAACTATGACATTATGAATTAAAACTAACTTAACTACTCTTATTAGTTCTAACTCTTGATGAATTAGGTATTTGCTTTTCGTGTATAGGAACAGAAGTAGTAATAACTAATAACTGTATTAATATTATAGCCATTCTGTAGAGCATTGGATACCGAATCGTGATACAAAATTTGCTCTTTATTTTTGTAGCTGCTCACATCATTAGTACGGCGGTGGTAGCTATGCATTGCATGTTCAAGGCACCATACTGGGTATGCATCAGAACATAATCTCCTTGTACTATCGGTTCATATAAAACAAGTAAGAGTAGGTGTTTACTGCAGATGACTTTTATTCAATTAAATGTGTATACTATATTACTATTAATACACCTTTGATCAATTAAAAGTGCATTACTATTAAGTCATTTGAATCATGCTCTGGTCCATTTGCACTATACTATGTGACTTTCTGAGATCACCCAAGTTTTCCAAAACAAGCTCACCCTTCATGTTACATGATGATAAAGTAGAGGCTTTTGGAGGTATGAATAAATTGGTTGTGTTCTTGTCTTTTGAACTGCAACAACCTTGAGAGATAGTGATGTAGAACATAAGCACAAGAGGAACAAGAAAAGGAGACAGATATTGTTGTAGCAAAAATTCTTCATCTAATACTAATATTGAAAGACATGCCAGATCTCGTCTTGTTTTACACAGTTAGGAGTTAGCCTTTTGATAAGTGACGCAATAGAACATGAGTAGGAAGTAACAACAATAATAACAGAAGTCTTTTTGTGTCGTATGGAGTCTTTAAATTGATCAAACAATGTCATTATATTTTCATATTTGGGCAACAATTGAATTTTCAAAAAATGTTATATACATTGTCAAAAACGAAATTTGAGTTAGGAAATGAAATTGGGTCTATCAATTTTATTTTATTTTATTTTATTTTATTTTATTTTTTTAATGTTTGCTAGCTCTTTTAGAATTGGTGTTTTATTTAAAGTCCCACTTTAGTCCTTTATTGAAAGTGAAGGGATTATGATTGGTTCTCCTAAACTCCTTTATCTGGTTTAATCTTTAGTTAACTAGAATCATATTGATTGAGTTATCTATTCCCAACATAAAATTCAAAGTAATAAAACAAACCAAATAGAAAAATACAAATTATATTAAAATGTGAGAATAAATTAGTTCAACTCAGAACTTTACCGTAGTATTTGGCTATGAATTTTTTTTATTTTCTTTTATAAGAATCAAACTTAGTACTCAGGAAATTTAAAACAATTTACACACATTGTTTAATTGGATTATTTAGTTATGAATTTAATTACCCCGATCATAAACAGGATCAAAATCATAACATAAAATTCAACACAAATGTAAAATAAAATACGGTAGGAAGAATTCATACTCCATTCTCAAATTGAAAAAAATAAAATAGAAAAATAGATTTACATTGTGTGTATTTTAATTATTGGATGTGGTACCAAAAAATTAAGATAGTTGGTATTTAAACATGGTTATAGAGAATCTAACATGACATCACACACTAAATCTGCATTTGTGTAGAGTTTCAAATACGAGCTTTGTGCAGACTTGGGCTCAGAATATGTAGATTCAGGTTGAGCATGATGGGCCATGCGGATACTCGGTTTTCAAATTCTATTTGAATTTTGAAGGTGAAATTGTTTGATTCGAAAGTTATTAACTCTAAAAAATATTCTTATAAATGGACAGATAATCATAAAAATATTTTATACCTTAATTTAAATCTATAAATAAAATATTATATAATTTTTAAATATTTTAAAAAATTATAAACTTGATTTATAAATTAAAATTTTTTATTTAGTAATTAAATTATTAAAATTTAATGTAAAATATAAATTATTAAGTAAAATGAATCTATATGAACTTAATCTTGAAATAAAATGATTATATATATATATATATACTTTCATTTTCATATAGTTTGAAATTACTCTTTCACAAAAAGAAAAGAATAGAATGACATTGAACCTAGAACAACTG